TGGGCGAGTGGGCGAGTGGGCGGGCAGGGGGCGAGTGGGGCGGGCGAGTGGGTGGGTGGGCGGTGAGTGGGAGGGTGGATGGTGAGTGGGCGGGTAGATGGTGAGTGGGTGGGCAGTGAGTGGGAGGGCGGGTGGTGAGTGGGCAGGCAGGCGGTGAGTGGGCGGGTAGATGGTGAGTGGGTGGGCGGTGAGTGGGTGGATAGAGCGTCTTGCTTTCCCGACCTTTTGTGGTGGCCCCCAGGCAAGGGTAAATGCTTTTTTTCTTCTGAAGGGGGAGAAAAAGGTCAGGCGGTCAGGGGGGACAAGGGAGAGGGGACCACCTTCGTCCAGGGTGCTTAGTTGCCCCACTTTGCTTTCCTCCTCTCAATCAGCCTGCACGATGTCCTCAACAACCTGAGAACAAAATACACCAAGCAGATAAGGCAGTTTCAGGAGGACAACCAGTCCATGACCTCAGACTACAAACGGCTCGTGACGCAGTTCAAGGACCTACAGAAAGCCTTGAGGTGTCCTGGGGATCAAGTCCTTAGGATCTGTCTTGGAATGTGGGGGATGGTTGGGAGTGCCACTTGGCAAGAGGCTCGATGGCAGTGATTTCATTAGACTCGACCTCAGCAGCTCTTTTGGAACCAGCCCAGGGGGCTGGGGTATCACTCGACCATCTTTATTCCTTGTTGGGACAGCTGCATTTTATCCCAGGTAGGGTGTTGGGGATTTGAGATTCTTCCTCATGTTCTCATCTTATGGACAACTGGGGACACTGGGGCTAAGACACCACTGCTTCAGTCTCCAGCATGTGACAAAGTGACACTCATAAGAGATGACATCAAAACTAAAGTCATAGGAAGGTCACTTTGCCAGAGAGCTAGCCAGAACAGGGTGGGAAAGGTGGTAGAAAACAATCCAGCAGGACACCTACAGCTCACCGGATGTGGTCTGAGAAGGCGGGGAATTGTTGAGGTCAGTGGCTGCACTCAGTGCCTTTCCTTCACAGACACTTCATCATCATTGATGAGGAGAAGTTTCGGGAGATTTGGCTGATGAATGAAGCTGAGGCAAAGGTACTGGCACAAAGAGCCTTTGATGTGGACAAGATCATCCATTCCCAGCACCTGGGCTTGCCCTGGAAGATGCCTAACCTCTGGTTCCTGAACAATGTGGGGCCGATTTCCCTGCAGCAGCAGAAGTCAGTCACACAAATACTGGAAGAACTGCTGCTGCAGACAGGTGACTAGACACGGCGTCATTGAGATGTAGCGTGGAGGGGCCTCTGAGAGCGTAAGTCAATGCACCCGTGCTAAATGGGAACAGGAGGAGAGGTGCTCAGTACTGAGCTAGCGAGAGGGTTCAGCCAGTAAAGGAGCTTGCTGCCAAGCTTGACTATCTTGAGTTCAAACCTGAGAACCTTCATGATAGAAGGAGAGAACTGACTCCTGCAAGATGACCTCTGATCTCCACACTTGTGTGCCCCACACACCATAAAAAAAAACCCATACTCTTTCCCCCCAGTTTTTTTGTTTGTGGTACCCAGCACCTCACACACGTTAGGCATGGTACAGCCCTCACTTGATTTCCAGTCCATTGACCATGATCTTACTGTAGTAAAAACTGGTTTCCTTTTCACACGGGGCTGGGTTGACTCTGCCTGAGCTCACTCAGACAACCCTCTCTGATCGTCCCTGGACTGTTTGCAGTTGTGTGTTTACTTTGGGGACTACATGTGTTGCTGAATGAATAGACTTGTTCATTTGCCTTTTCATTTTCTTTGTTGGAAAATTGTTGGGACAGATCACCCCAAGTAGGTTTGTTGGGTTAAAGACCTTTGCCAACGCCAAGCAGTGGTGGCGCATGCCTTTAATCTCAGCAGGCAGATTTCTGAGTTCAAGGCCAGCCTGGTCTACAGAGTGAGTTCTAGGACAGCCAGGACTATACAGAGAAACCCTGTCTCAAAAAACAAACAAACAAACAAACAAACAACCCCAAAAAACAAAAACAAAAAAAACCCCAAAAAACAAAAACAAAAAAAAAGAAAGAAAGAAAAGAAAAAGAAAAAAAGTCTCAGAGTCTCTCAAGCTGGCCTCTCAAACTCCAAGCCAAGGCTGGCCTTGAACTCCTGATGCTCCAAGTTCTAGGATTACAGGCTTATGACAGCTCATAGATATCACCATATTCTTTGAATAACTGTCCCCACATGGTCGGCTTTCTTCAGCACTCACACATGGGTGGCCATAGAGAGGCAGCAAGAGGCCCATTTGTTCAATCTTGGGTCATGCATGACTTTTAAAGGATTTATTTGTATATGTCTGTCTGTCTGTCTGTCTCTCTCTCTCTGTATGTCTCTCTCTCTCTGCATGTGTGTGTGTCTGTCTCTCTGTGTGTGTGTGCATGCACGCGCCAACGCCACAGCACATATATGGATCAGAGGACAACTCGCAGGAATTGGTTCTTGCCATCCACCATGTGGGGCTCAGGGATCTAGGTTAGGTTGTCAGGCTTGGTGGCAAGCATCTTTAGTTACTGAGACATCTTACCAGCCATTACAGGATGATTTGGACTCCCATTTTCTGATTAAGAATTAATAGGGCAAAACATTTTTAATTTTAGTTTCTCTTTTTTTGGTATGCTTTTTCTTTTTGTATTCTTTTCCTTTCTTTAATTACAAAACATTATGTGTGAGTATATGCTACATGTGTGAGCCTGAGGAGGCCAGAGGGTGGTGTTGGGTCTCCTAGAGCTGGAGATACAGGCGGTTGTGGGCTGACAGATGTGAGTGCTGGGAACTGAACTCAAGTCCTCTGCAAGAGCAGTAAGTGCTCTTAACTTTGGAGCCATCTCTCCATCCCTTTTCTTTTGATTTTAAAAGAAGTTGTGGTTCAGTTGCTGTCAGTGTGCCTCTCAGAGGCAGCCATTTTGTCCTTTTATTTGGCTGCTTCTAAACCCTGTGGGTTTCAAAATCTTGTAACCTGCCTCCAGAACTGTCTCCAAAATGTGAATAAATACATTCCCCTCTCACTTCATGGCTCATGGTAGGATGCTAAGCATGAAGCCTCCAGGTAGATGGAGTTTGGGGAATCCGTCATTCTGGCTGACAAGGACTCTCCCATCAGTCTTTGATCCATCCCCAAGTCTGGTCCCCACACAGCAAGCTTTGTTCATCACTCAGACATGGGTGGCCACAGGGAGGCAGCAAGAAGCCAGTTTGCCCAGGGAAAGCCAATGACTGCTTCTCAGAGTTCACAAGGACAGGAAGTCATCCTGTTAATGCCTGCCTTTCTTCCTTCCTTCCTTCC